TGAACATGAATGCAAGCTTATGTTCTAAGCTTTTACCAATAACTTCTGGACAAATCTTTCCTTGTCCTAGAAATGTTTCTTCACAACCCCTGCGATGTTTTACCCCACTTCCTTGTAATCCATCTTCTTACTTTCCATACTGCCTCCATACTTTGAGATACAGATTCTGAAACTAATTGAAGGTGTTGACTCCTCTCCAGCTGTCCATCCATACACAAAGATACCAAGACGGAGAGAGGACAGAAGTCCATGGCCTTCAGGCAGGAAGCTTGTCACCTTGTGTAGGCAAACTTCAGTCCACACGACCCTATCCTGTGACCTGAAGAGTGGTGTTTCACCTTATAGTGGAAGAAATACAATGGGTCCTACTCCAGTCAGGTTAGTCTTTGCCTCCTGTGCCCATTTGGTTGTTCTTTGTTCTTCTATGAGAGCTACACTATGCTGTGATGCAGGCCATCCCTCCCAAACAAGAATTTCCTCTCCCTAGACTGTTCTAGAAGCCCATGTTCAACAGGGTAACTCCTGTGAGTATAGAGGCTTCAGTATCAGGCCCTAAAACAGATGCACTAGGGTTGAAAAACAGAGAACAGACTGTAAAAGCAAGTTGCATCATTTAGTTTATATCTTGTTCCAGTTTCTTTTTTTTTTCTAAATTTATTTTAAGAGCTTTATGTCAGACACAAAAGTTGAACTAAATAGCTATAAGGCAAAGACAAACCTTAAGTAAGGAGACAGACTGTGTGGTAAGCTTGCGATATACAGATGATCTCCCATGTATCAGGATAACGTGAAAATAACAATGAATCTGGCAAAGAATGCAGACAATCTTTGCTACGAGGAAAAAAACATATGGTAACTCCTGAAACAGTGCAAGAACAGATATATTAACTAAGAATAAAATGCCTGAAAAATATGAGTATTTTTGACAAAGATGTTATTTTGTATCCCTAGGATTGACTGGAAAGGTTGTCAACTTCATTTTTCTCTAGCGTTTTAAAGAAAGGACAATGCTGACTATGCTGACAAAGAATATTGAGCTTCCTTAAGAATTAAAAATAGTTATTAGTAGTTAGTGCTTTTGGTAACTTTTTTGTTCCAGACTTTCTGTGTTTATGGAAAAAAGATAATGTACTAAATATGTATCTTGCAAGTCCACCAAGGATTTTCTCCAAAAAGAATCCAGGAATAATAGTTTAAGAGATGATGTTGTTTAAATGAACTTAGCAATAAATATTTTAATTGCTTACAAAATTAATCCATTAATTTGTCACATCCTTAAACTCCTTCATGAGGAATTTGCTGTCTCTGTTCCAGAAAGAACTATGCTGTAGGTTCCAAATTACCTGTAAAAGTCATAGCTAAGCCAGATGTTCATGTTAAAGAATAATATTTACATAGGAAAGAAGTAATTTTAATGATATTGAAAACTGGCAAAATACTGGTTTGGAAGGACAGTTGTGAGTTGCTAAGACATTCAGGATATGAGTTGACAGTCTGTAAGGTGGCTATAGTAATTTCCTTGGTTTTGTATACATGAATGAGTTGCTTTGTTTCTTAGACTACATGTATGGAAACACAAATTGTTTCCCAGTGATGTAGATGCTATTAATATGCATGAAATTATCTGGGCTTTCAGCAAAGTATAAAGTAGAACTTTCTAAGAAGGGGTTTGGAGATAGCAACAGTCTGTAGTTGCCTGTATGGAACAGAGCTGGATTGTTGCAAATGCCTTCAGAAGACACCTCATTTAAAAACTTAAGTAATATTACTTACTTGCTGACATTGCTTAACTTTGTTACTATTTTTAAGAGGCATAGCAAATGGTGTATCCTGCCTTCTGATTAAGAGGTGAGGCAAGAAGTATATGGCCCTGGATAAATGAGCAGCTTGTCCACAGCCTGAATAGTGAAAATCTGGTCCTTTTAGTTGCAAAAATGTAATAGAAAAGGAAAAGATTCAGAGCTGGGCAACAAGAACAATGAGAAGTATGGAATGGCTTATACAGTATAGAAAACTAGTAAGAAAGCAAGAAAGAAAAGTCAGAATTGATTCCTAAATGCTACATTGATTAAGTAGTTAGTTGCAAACTACTTGTAATGTCTTCTGGGAATTAAACATTTATAGGTTATTTCTGGTGATGACAAGGACCTTTCACAGTTAAAAAAGCCCCAAATCTTTCCAAGACACATCTTCAGCATGACTGACACAGTGATTTGTTATATCAGTTGACTGAAGAAAGAAAAATATGTCAAAACCTCACATAAATGTTCTTTCACAGACAATATATCCTTCCTTTGAATTTCAATAATGAGCACAATACTGTTTTGGTTTGCTGAAGACCTTCCCCTAATTTCTCTGAAGGCTTCAGAGGTTCAGTGGAATTTGACAAAAGGTATTTAGGCTTTTGTGTTTGCCTTTAATTGCTGCCCACCAGGGTGTATCCTGATGCAGCAGCCAGAACGTCTGAGCAGAACCTTTTGCTGCTTGTTGCAACTTGCAGGACTGGAATATTATACAGTGTAGAGAAGTATGCACATTTAGAGCAAAGATTTTGATTCAAAATGTTTTTCTGAGTCCTATGCCTGTCATCTTAAAGAGATGTTACCCTTCTACAAGTGAATGAGCTGTTAAACCTCTAAATGAAGGGCTAACTCTACAAATATACACAAACAGAAGTTACTGGGCAAACACTGCTATTTATAACTGTCAAGTGGCACCCCAGTGTTGGTTAAAGCCTTATTTCTGCCAACTCTCCACACCTCATTTGCCTGCACAGACACTATCTGCAGGTTTGGTTCTGCCATGGTTTGTGTTAGGATGAACATTTGGTTGTATCCTCTTTTAAGTGTGCAGACCTTCAAAGACTGGACACAAAGAACTGTGTTCACTTAGGTATCCTATTGACTTCAACTGTAGCAGTGGTGACCTCACTGCAAGATCAAGCAAGACAACCTCTTATGTGTATAGCAGTAAGAAAACCTGCTGTGTGTATAGCTATGTAAAAAAAAATATGTAAAATAAAAAAAACAAAAACAAAATAAACATATCTGTTCTGTAATGGAAAGTCCACTAACATGAATACTGTCACAGCTGCTTAAAAATAGAAACATGAATTATGTAGTTTTTCCATAGATCTCTTAAGTAATAGCCAGTGCTATTATTACAGTGTTGTTTCTCTCTTTAATTGCACTACTGCTTAGGAAAAGTCATGATTTTGATTTATGAAGAAAGTTACATGGAATTACAGACATGTATCAGTAATTTAAAATAGGAGGCCAGTTCTTTACATGCCAGTAATCTCTATAGTCTTAGCAACCATTTCTTTTCCTTTTGTCTCTTGAAAATAATTAAATAAATAGAAGTTTGCCCCACTTCCCCCCTCACACATATGCAGGACCAACAAAACTCAGTAATTTTCCACTGGTACAACAGTCTTTCAGTGCCTGCCATCTGCTGTGCTGGCAGGACCCACAAGAGGAGTAGCAGCAGCAAGTCAGGAACTGTAACGTCATGTTGTGAATATTCATTCAATTTTCATTGTCACAGCTGGCCCTCATCATCTCTAAGACTGACCTTGCCTCCCCCAACTTCCCTTTGACAGCTTTAGTGCAGAGGAGCAGACAGAAGCAAGACACTGAAAGCATAAGCCTCAACCACTAGAAACCCCCAGTCAAAATCAGTCCCCATTCCTGGGGGGGGGGGGGGGCGCAGGGGTGTCTGTCCCTCCCATTTACCATTGTTATTGGTAAAGATTTTTGCCCTGGGAAGAATGCTTTAGTGAAATACTGATTTTTTTTTTAGATCCATAGCCAGTTCATATTGAATTTACTTATCATAATGTAGAATGTATTTTTCCCTTCTTGCTAACTCTTTTTCTGGGTTGTGCGTGCTTTCAGCACTGCAACACGGTAAATGGGAGTGCACCACTTCTTCATTACCACAGGCTCCAAATGTGGAAATGGAGTTCAGGTATCACAAAGGAAGCACTCTTGCATCACATTCAAGTTAAAACATGCTAATTTTAGGCTTCTGTTATTTCAAACCTACCAAATCTAATGCTTCTTGAAACCAGTCTCGGCATGTGGATCCACAGCACTCAGTGAATTTCCTGGCTCTGCCTGCAGGCAAAGGGGACATGTAGATACTCCTGAGGTCCTGAGACTGAGATCTCTGGGCAAGAGATCTGCTTTAGTGTACAGAGTTCCTAAGACCCTTGTCACTATATAAAGACTAATTAGGTAAAACAAATTAAACGTGGCTACCAAATAAATCCTCTTCATCAGCAACCATCCCCAAGTGAAGTGACATCACGAGGACAAACTTTCACTCCCTTGCACACGTTGCATGTTGTGACAGCAGCAGATGATTGTACTGTCATTCTCCCAGTCTGAGCTCAGAGACTGGCCTTCCATGTAGCTGGCTGTGTGAGAAGTCTATATTGCTGCATCCTTGGGATAACAGCTTTCTCTGTAAGTGCTGGCTGCTTCGTTTTATGATCAGGTGGTACTAACACCAAAGCACGGTTTCACAGGGCAACCTGTGCAAACATCCCCACACTTGTACTTCTTCAGTGGTGGGACAGAAGGGTACAAAAGTGAAAGGCCTGAAAATGCAGTTTCCAGATAATTCTTCTGTCTTCTGGTTGAGCACCCGGGCACCTACGTGTGCTCAAAGAAAGTTTAATAGTGCCCTCCTGAGTGGGAGAGCTCTCCACAGCTACAAGCCCTTCAGTGAACCTCGATCATCACAGCCTGCCGAGAGCGAGGGCTTAAGCCGGATGCTCGGGCTGAAGAGACGGGCACTCCGTCCGGCCCGTGGGGTGCCAGGACTGGTGGCTGCACTTCAGTAAGAGCCTAAAGCGAGGCCGCTCCCTCCCGGTCACCGCTCCTCGGCCGGTTTCGAAGGAGGAGAACGGGCCGCCGGGAACACTCCCCCGCTGTGGCGGTCCTGAGGTACCTGCCTCCCGGTGCGGCGGCTGGCGGCAGCAGCCAACCGCGGCGCAGCTTAGCAGCAGCGGACTCTCGCGAGAGCCGTCGAGTAAACATCGCTCTGCCGAGGCCCTCCCGCCGCTCTCCTGCTCCTCCTCCTGCCATTAGCGCGGAGGAGGGGGCTGTGTGTGTTCTCTGAGGCGCCGGCTGCAAGCAGCGAGCGAGGAGAGGTGAGTGCTGCGGCGAGCCGGCGCAGCCTTCTGACCCGGCGGTGGGGAAGCAGGCTTTCCCCTGGAGCGGTGCGGAGGGAATGGGGACCCTGTCACTGAACACTAGAAGTCTCCTTCTGCCTTCCCTCTTCTCCTTCCTCCCCCCCACCGTGAGGCAGCAGGAACAGCCATCGCCGTAGAGCCTGAGGGAGAACAGCCTCAGCCCCGGCTGCCGATCAGCCCGGGAAGGAGGTGGGAGGATCGGGGGTGGGTCTCGGCTGGGGAGCCACCGAGGCAGTTTGCCCGCCTGCCTTCGGCGCGCTGCCCCTCAGGTGACTTCTCCCCCTGCCCCTGGCGGGCGAGCGGGGGCTGCCGCCTCCTGCCAGAGGCACAAGTTGCCTGACTTTCCCCGTCCGTTTCCCCGGGGTGGGTGCCGCCAGCCAGCGAGGCGCTGGAGTTACCCAGCCACGGCCGCCGCTCCATCCTCCCCCGGGGAGGTGGGGGGGGGGGGCGACGATTGAGCCCACCGGCAGCTCGGCGTTTGGGCGCGGTGGGCTGAGGGGCCGCGGATGCCCCGGGGTGGTGCCGGGGGCAGAGGCGAGCTTGGTGCGGTGGGAGGTGAAGCCGGGCGGGTGTGAGCGCCGTGCTGTGTGCTGCGAGGGTCAGGCTCAGGCGCTGCTGGCCATCCTGAGGTGAGGCGGGGTGGGGTGGGGTGTACCCACGGTAGGTAGTGTGGCTTTCGGGTGTCCTGCCCGCTCCGTGAATAAATAAATAAAGGGACAAAAATATCCATGTAATGCGCTTGAAAAGTATATTTAACAAACAACACAGAACAAAAAAAAAAACCCAAACACAACAACAACAACAAAAATACCCAGCCGAAAAAAACTCAGGAACTCACAAGTTGCCACTCTCAGATGCACAAAGCCAAAACCTGCTTTTGTCCTGAGCCAAAGGAGTTTGGGATTGGGCCCGTAATTTGACAGCCCAGGTCGTGCTCTGTATCTTTAGGCAATTTGCAGTGACTAAGATAAAAGTTAAGTGGAAGACCTATGTCTCCTGTTTGTTTTTTCCTTATTGTTTGTAGTTTTGTTTTGTTGGTTTTAATTAGTTTGAAATGTCTTGGGTTAGAGTAGCAGGTACAGGCATGCCACCATTGATGCTGCTTACCTGATTTCCTGGTGTGAAATACGGAATAGGAATAAATGACCCTTGATGTAGCTTCTGAATAAAAAGCAGTGCTGAAGTTTGAAGTAAAAAAAAGTTTCCTGTAGGGTATTTGATGGGTTATATTAATGTTGTTTTGCTTTTACTTGCTTTTTTGCTGAAGAGGCATGAAATTTATTTTGGAGGCTACAGGTGCTGGGATTTGTCAGGTATGCCAATTCAGTCTTTTGATTACAGTTTTTCTGAAGTCACTTGCAGTAAAGGGATCTTGTTTGTGAGTGTATATAACTCTAATAAATCTCACTAAGTGGTTGGGCGTGTTCCATAAAAGATGCCTGGACATAAACAGAAATCCTAAAAACTGCTGAAAATCTTAGGGATGAAACAGTATCAATCTTACTTTTACCCTGCGCTGTTAATGGCAATACTAGTCCATACACTACTATTCTGAGAGGTGATAAGCAGTGGCCACACTTGCTGCATATGAGAAATCTGCTACTGTATCTAATAGAATTGATGCGATTTCATCTTCTAGGCTATATGTAGGCATGTTTTCCTGCCTTTTTTAAAAGGTGTCTTGAATTATAAAAATAAAATTCACATAGTTCTGTGAAACTGGGACTCGGGTATTTTTCGCATTGTACACAATGTAGTATATGTTCAGTTTAAATGTTATTGCTTAACAGAGCTTTAAAAAATTACAAAATTATTTCTCAAACATTTCAGGAGAAAATAAACTCCCAAACCACTGGCTAAACAGAACTCAGAAGTAAATATTTACAGTGGACAGGTACCATGCTTTATTTCATTTTGCCTTTTCTTTTTTTTTCTTTTTTTTTTTTTTTTTAGAAAGTTAGTCTTTCTTAAAAAGAAGCAAACAACAAACTCACACCCTATCATTAACTTGCAGTGGAGTTGGACAAGGCCTATTCTCTTGGGATGCAATGAGGTTATGTTCCCAGGAGAACAGAAGCTTTGGATTTCTGTCAGATAATCCATTGTGGACTTGCTTGTGCAAAACTTGTGGTGCTGACCTCTGAGAATCTGGTCCTGTGCTTAGTGGTGTCCCTGGCGTACTGGTTGGAATTATATGGGATGGCATGCTGAATGGAGTTCAGTGTATGTATAGCTTCTCTTGCACATGGTGAGGTTTGCCTGACTGTTGTCTCTCAGGACTTCTGTATAGCCTCCTTTGAGCTCATCTATCTTTATACCCCTGAAGCTTGAGTGGTGGGTAGAGGTTTTTAATAAGTTACCTTCTGTACTTTGGGATCCCTCTTGAATCCTTTAGCGACTACAAGGAGCTTAGTCACAGTTTGAGGAGCACTGGTTTTGTCCACTCTTATCTGCCTAGGCAATGGTTTGTTTTGGTTTTAAAGCTTACCTTCTCCTTATAAATTCAGTTTTTTGCTCTATCCATTTTTATTCTAATAAAAATGTTCTTCCCACCAAGTTTAAGCCAAGGGTTAGTTAAAATGTAAAATCAATTGCTAAACTTTGGTATTTTTTTTCTAGGAGATGCAAGATAGACATGTAAATTACAATGAAAAGAATTACTTCTCTGTATACAGCATTCATCAACACAAAGACTACTTACTAAGCTGTATATGGTAAATGGTTTGCTTTTAGTCCCTCTGAAAGAGGCTTTATGTGTCTTAGCGACAGTTGACATAAATCAAACATACTACTGTTCACCAAATCATTTAATCTTCTCTTGTTGGTAGCTCATTTCAGCATATAGCTGCACTTAGAGCAGACCTGCCATCAGTAGTAATTGGGTTACTGTAGCATGAAAATGTGGGTTTGATAAACAACTGACAGCAAATTCTTTGGGATGGGTTGATGCAGGATTTTTCGAAGTCTGGTGACTAAACAACATCTTTTGTTTTGCAAAAAAAGGAGTAACACCAAGGGTAACCCAGTCTGATGTTGTGGGGTGTGAACTCAGGGAGGAGTTATTTAGAGCATGGTATTGGATCTATATGGTGAAACTGTATTTAAGGTGGGGGGATCTTTCCTTGAAGGATCAGAAGTTGGTTGATGCCAAATGACAAAGAGTAGATCATTTCATTGGTATGAAAGGTCCTGCTGCTCTGTAGTGTAAAACTACAGAATAACTTTTGGCAGTCCTATAGCTCCTGCATCTGCATGAGGAAACAATAGAATGAGACAACATGGGACTGAGGGGAGGGAATGAATTTATCAGAAAAAACTTCTTTTCCTTGTCATAAATAATTTTATCAACATGGGAAGCATTATAATAGGCAGTTGTCATAGTTAATACTGTCTTTTACATGTGAAATCTGGTAATTTTGTGAGCCTTGCATTAATATCTCACTACTTGATAGAACTTAAAAAAGCAAAGCAAAACAGTGGATCAGGAAAGAATATTAATCTTGCTTCAAATATAGGGTTATCTGATTTTGCATTATGGTTTGAACTGTAGATTTGGAACTTAGTTTGTGATGTATGTCTTTAATATTTATACCTACAAACTCGCAATTTGTCAGCTGACATATGAGTTTGAGACTTGTAACTGAATAGAATATGAAGAAAGGAGATACCTAGAATTCTAATGTAATAAACTTCAGAAGACTGCTTATGTGAGATTTTGATTGTCATAGGAAATATATATTTTTAAATTCTATTTAAATATTTTAAATAAAATTCTGTATAAATACATAGAAATAAATTTCTGTATTTTTGCTAGTAAAGAGGAACAATGGTTGATTAAAATTGTAGACTGGGTTTATGGGACTTCACAAGAGAAGAATCTTCTGAAGTAGTGAAAAGGAGAGACAACTATTCACCTTTTATTAGTAAGGAACAGACAATGTTAAGTAATAGTTGGTGTGAACAGGTTGCACAAAGAGGTTGAGTTTATCCTAGGCGGCAGAATGAGTGGGAGGGAGGAACTAAGGGGATAACTTGAATCTATATGAGGAGAGGAGCTGTGTTTAGAGGAAGCGTGTTTACTGTATTGCAATTTAGATTAGCTGTAACTCTGATGTTCCAAAGTTTGAACCTGTGATTGCTGGCATGCTGTAGAGGAGCTGCTTGCTTCGCAAAGATCTTGGCATACTGGAATTTGTTACATTTCCTTCCCCAGAAGCGGAAACAAAAAAAACCTTTTTGTTATCTTTGAATAGAGGAAAGGTTGCAAGGCTTCCTTCTACTATGTGTTATAAAGATAGCAGTTTACAATTCTCTGAGAGTATTGTGTGTAATGTCACATTAAGTGAGGCACTGCTATTGCATCTATAAAACGTGCCAAGAAATTTTAGCAATTAAATCTCCTTGTAGTAAAACAAAACCAAGCAAACCACTTCCCAGACAAACAATTAGAAATCTTCAGTCAAGTGGGTACCTTGCCCTAAACCAAGTATGTCTTTCTGGTCCTACTTATGAGCCACCGTAGTAGAATAAAGTTTATGAGAAAGACAGTTGTGCTTAAGTTGGATGCTACTAAAATGAAGATACACTAGGTTTTGCCAAGCCATAAGAGTTGCAAATACAGCCAGCTTCCGTACAGAGGAGTTTAAATTAGGAGGGGAAAGAATGGAAGTCATAACTTCAGAAAGGCACATGACTACTCTAACTGTACTGCTAAGAGGGATGCAGACAGCAAAAGGAAGTGGCTTGCTACAAGTGGGGAGTTGTGTGTGCTTAGGGGATTCTGCTGATTGTACCAGGTTAGGCTCCATCTCCCTCTCCCTGATGCAACAGAGAGTAAGACAGCCTGTCTAGCACACTTGTGCTCTATCATGAACCTCTGTCAGCGTCACTGAGAATCCGCCCAGAGGACAGCTATGTCCTATTCCTGCTAGACTGCTGCCAGTTAGGAGACTCTGAGT